GAGCTGCAAATGTGAGATACACCATCACCATGATGGTCTGACCTGGAAAGCTGTGCCCAGGGGTTGGTCAGCTTGGCTCTCAGCCCATCACTCTTCTCTAGCTCTGGGATAAAACACACAAAGCCCTTAAGCCCCTGGCCAGAGGGCAGATTCTTTCCCCCTCCCTCTGTTCCCTGCCCCCAAACTCCATGGAAGAGAAGGGACTTAGGGAGCAAAAACCAGAGGAAAAGTAGGTCAACAGCAGGAGAATAGTAATCCCCCTGGGCTGGACAGAGCAGCCAGGCCCCTGCTCCTAAAAACAAGCTGTTCCTGACCACCCACCCAGACTGACTCTGCAAGACTTTTGAGGTCTGGAGCCTCAGTACCATCCCTTCCAGTGATATGCTTAGGGGGAAGAGGCCACTCCAAAATGACATACCCTCCACACTGGGGTCATTCTCAGTCCACGCTCTTGCCAACTGTGACTCTTGCTATGCTGGACTTACAGGTTCTTTTTTTCTTTCCTTTTTTATTTTTTTGGAGAGGTCTTTTCGCTATAGAGCGTGTGCGCTCGCCAGACATACAGAGAGAGACAGAGAGATAGAAAGCGAGAAATCCCCCCCCCAGGGGGGATGGTCACGCCGCAATCCCTTCTCCTCCATTCTCCTCTCAGGATCTTGGGCACGCATGCACAAGCGCCTGGCGTGAGTTTTATGCCACCGGGTCCGGGAAGAGAACCGCGGTCGACTACGTGGGAGTCCAGCGACATAGCCATTATGCTAACTACTGGTTCCCTTGTTTCCTTTTTTTTTTTTAAGAATTATTTAGGGGGGCCAGCAAGTGGTGTGGTAGTTAACGGCGCTAGACTCCCACATGGCCGACCATGGTTTGAGTCCCAGACCTGGCGGCTTACTTTCTCACTCAGCCCTGCCCCCACTACTCTGTCCCTGTCTGGTCAAAATAAAAATAAGGGAACCAGCAGTTAGCGTAATGGCTATGTCGCTGGACTCCCACGTAGCCGCC